ACACACACACACACAGACACACTCACTCACACACACGCACGCACAGACACTCACACACACGCACGCACAGACACTCACTCACACACAATGAGATTGTGCATGTAAACACTCAATTACACTACTGTTCAAAACTTCAGTAAATGTCAGTAAGGATTTTTTTTTTTATAATACTTTTATTCAGCAAAGACATGTTAAATTGATCAACATGAAAAAGATTTCTATTTCAAATAAATGCTGTTCTTTTGAACTTTCTGTTCATCTGTGAATCCTGAAAAACAAAATGCATCACAGTTTCCACAAAAATATTGTGCAGCACAACTGTGTTCAACATTAATAATAATAATAAATGTTTCTTGAGCAGCAGATCAGCATATTATAGTGATTTCTGAAGATCACGTGACACTGAAGACTGGAGTAATGATGCTGAAAATACAGCTGCGCATCACAGAAATACATTACACTTTAACAGAGATTCACACAGAAAACAGCTGTTTTACATTATAATAATATTTCACAATTTGTACAGTATTTTTGATTGAAAAATTCAGCTTTGGTGAGCGTAAGAGACTATTTTCAAAAACATTTAAAAAATCTTACCGACCCCAAACTTTTGAACACTAGTGCATGTTAAGTGATCTTTAATGCTCCCCAGTGAATGTTCACGCACAGACACTCACTCACACACACGCACGCACAGACACTCACACACACCCACTCATGCACGCACACACTCACGCACACATACATACACACAGACACGCACACAGACACACGCGCGCACAGACATACACTCACACACACACACTCATGCACGCAGACACACACGCACGCAGACATACACGCACACAGACACACACACACACAGACATGCGCGCATACAATACACATACAATTTTTTATAATAATAATAATTATACATAATGTACAAGAAACTGAAATGTGAACATTAAAACAATGGTGTGCGTAAAAAATGGTAAATAGTTATCAAATGTGACTGCTAACAGCTCACTGAAGCCTGTTTCACACTGCATGAGCAGAACGTTTGGATCGGGTGTTCAGCTGCGGCTATCACAGTTATTTCTGGGATACTATGCCAAATATTGTCTTTAATAATGGCCAAAAATGCTGAAATGGTTTTGGGAGGCGGTTAATGAGAGCTATAATGAACTTGATCATCATGTGCATGAGAACGAGGAGCAGATTGACATCACATCACACAACCAGCTGCTTCAGTCTTCATTCAGAGTTCAGATGATTTTATGCCATGTCTCCCGACGTTTTCATTTTCTAGAGTTCAGTGTGTGGGACGCCGCACAGCTCTCGCTCCCAGTGTGAAGACTGTATCGTGTTCATAAGGGTCCAAAACTAGCACGCTAATGTCATACTGATATTAATGGAACTAATATCCAAAAAGGATAGAAAGAAAGTCATAGAGTATGTGCAGATGCTCTGATCTTTGCTGGTCAGAAAACCTCCTCAAAAGTGTGTTTATCAAAAATAAGCTCATTCTAAAAACACATTTGATTAAATGATTGTGTTTTGACGAAAACGGACCTGTACACGACACGAGCACTGATTAAGTCTGAGTGCTGGTGAAGCTGCTAGTGCAAAACTGACATGTGCTCAACATTTCTTTTGCTTGAATATTTCATGACCTAATCGATAAAACAACAAGGCCTAAACACAGCCGGACAGGTTGCATGATAGGCGTGAGATTGTGCATGTAAACACTCAGTTACACTACTGTTCAAAACTTCAGTAAAGGTCAGTAAGGATTTTTTTTTTAATAATACTTTTATTCAGCAAAGACATGTTAAATTGATCAACATGAAAAAGATTTATATTTCAAATAAATGCTGTTCTTTTGAACTTTCTGTTCATCTGTGAATCCTGAAAAACAAAATGCATCACAGTTTCCACAAAAATATTGTGCAGCACGACTGTGTTCAACATTGATAATAATCAGAAATGTTTCTGGAGCAGCAAATCAGCATATTATACTGATTTCTGAAGATCATGTGACACTGAAGACTGGAGTAATGATGCTGAAAATACAGCTGCGCATCACAGAAATACATTACAGTTTAACAGATATTCACACAGAAAACAGCTGTTTTACATTCTAATAATATTTCACAATTTGTACAGTATTTTTGATTGAAAAATTCAGCTTTGGTGAGCGCAAGAGACTATTTTCAAAAACATTTAAAAAATCTTACCGACCCCAAACTTTTGAACACTAGTGCATGTTAAGTGATCTTTAATGCTCCCCAGTGAATGTTCATGCATTAAAAGTGCACTTTTGTGACCCTGGAGCACAAAACCAGTCATAAGGGTCAATTTTTCGATATTGAGATGTATAAATCATCTGAAAGCTGAATAAATAATCTTTCCATTGATGTGTGGTTTGTTAGGATCAGACAATATTTGGCTGAGATACAACTATTTGAAAATCTGGAATCTGAGGGTGCACAAAAATCAAAGCTGTGGTTATAGTTGAAATCTTTCTCGTCCAGTATCGTGTACATCATCTCGGCCCCGGCGTCTCCTCTGCTGGGCTTCATGGTCGATAGGACGGGCAGAAACGTCTTGTGGGTCATGCTGGCTGTCGCCACCACGCTCCTCTCTCACATGATGCTGGCCTTCACCTTCTGGAACCCCTGGATCGCCATGGTAACCGCCAAACTCTCGACCAATCAGCTGTGAGAGCCAGTGTGACAGTATAACGTATCACTTTGATCAAACGGCTGTGGGAGTGTTGTTTTGTGTGTGTGTGTGTCAGTGTCTGTTAGGTCTGTCGTATTCTCTGCTGGCCTGTGCTCTCTGGCCCATGGTGGCGTTTGTGGTGCTGGAGCATCAGCTGGGAACCGCCTACGGATTGTAAGTCTGATCTGACGACGTCTCCTGATGCTGCTGCAGATGTGTTGGTCCAGTAATAACGCTCTGATGTGTTGCACAGTATGCAGTCCATACAGAACCTGGGTCTGGCGCTCATGTCCATGGCTGCGGGAAGCATCTTAGATCTCAAAGGATACCTGTTCCTCGAGGTCTTCTTCATCGCCTGCCTGTGCTGTGAGTAAACACGCACATACACTACCAGTCAATAGTTACTGAGCAGTAAGATTTTTTATGTTTTTTTAACGAAGTCTCTTCTGCTCACCAAGCCTGCATTTATTTGATCCAAAGTATAGCAAAAACAGTAGCATTGTGAAATATTTTTACTATTCAATATAACAGTTTTCTTGGTAACCGCCAAACTCTCGACCAATCAGCTGTGAGAGCCAGTGTGACAGTATAACGTATCACTTTGATCAAACGGCTGTGGGAGTGTTGTTTTGTGTGTGTGTGTGTCAGTGTCTGTTAGGTCTGTCGTATTCTCTGCTGGCCTGTGCTCTCTGGCCCATGGTGGCGTTTGTGGTGCTGGAGCATCAGCTGGGAACCGCCTACGGATTGTAAGTCTGATCTGACGACGTCTCCTGATGCTGCTGCAGATGTGTTGGTCCAGTAATAATGCTCTGATGTGTTGCACAGTATGCAGTCCATACAGAACCTGGGTCTGGCGCTCATGTCGATGGCTGCGGGAAGCATCTTAGACCTCAAAGGATACCTGTTCCTCGAGGTCTTCTTCATCGCCTGCCTGTGCTGTGAGTAAACACGCATACGCACGCACAATCCCCTCCTGAGCTGCATTCGAACCATGCATTTCACGATTGTTGTCGTGTGTGATGTGTGTTTCAGTGGCTCTGCTGGCCGTGGTGCTGCTGTATCTGTGTGATTATTACAAAGGTAATATCAGCGTTCGCTCCAGATGAACTCCGCCTGTGATGAGCCGTTACTCACATGTTTCCGTCTCTTCTGTTACAGAGGGAGAGCTGAACCTGTCGGCCTCAGCACGAGCCGGCCGAGCCAAATCTGAGTGAGTCCATATAACGCGCACATCTCATACAGTGGCTCTAAAACACTCAAAATATCACCGCATCAGCAGACAGATCCACAAACACACATTTCATGATATGTGATGCTCTACACCTCAGGTAGGGTGAATCTCGCACAGGAACACATGCAGATTATTTCTCAAGATTATGGCGTCTTGATTCATCAGCACAATGTACATATCTTGTCCTTTGGTAAAACCTGCAAACTAGGGGTCATGAAATGGAAAATAAAAGCATACTGCAAGTTTCAGAAGTTTAAAAACGACTGTCCAGTTTAAATATTATTTATTGTTTTCTACCCTTCTGAAACACCCAGATTAGAAATCAGGAGAATCATAACGTCACGATTTCTCCTCGAAACGGCCTTTAACATGCGTCATCGCTGCATGTAATCAATCACAAGAGCCATACTGTACATACCTGCGCTATGTGCAGCGCCTTTTGTAATACGACAAGTAATAATAGTACTTTTTAGAATTATATCCTGAAAATGAAGCAATTTAGCAAGCAAGCAAAAGCTGTTGTGGTTGTGTTGTTTCAGTTTCTTCTCTCTCGGGCACAAACATATACGGCTCTATCACAGCACTTGCCATCTCGAATATCAAAACACACCACATGCTGGAAAGGGGGCGTGGCTACAGTATGATGAAGTCAGCCAATCACAGCAGTGGGCGTTTACGTCCGTTTCTGCAGGAGCAAATTGACTTCACAGAGAGTGAAAATGAGAAAATTATCATTTGTACAAATATTGGATGCAAAACACTTTAAAGGGGTAGTTCACCCAAAAATTAATTTAAATTACCCATTGATTTACTCACCCTCGAGCCATCCTAGGTGTGTATGACTTGCTTCTTACAGACGAATACAATGGGAGTTATATTAAAAATATCCTGGCTCTTCCCAGCTTTTTAATGGGAGTGAATGGGTGTTGAGATTTTGAAGTCTAATAAAAGTACATCAGAAGTGCTCCACACGGCTCCTGTGGGTTCATAAAGGCCTCCTGAAGTGAATCGATGTATTTTTGTAAGGAAAGTATCCATATTTATAACTTTATAAACCCTAATCTCTAGCTTTCGCTGACTGTTGTACACGCGTTCATGAGAGAGTGGTGTTCAGCGGATGACGTAGGACGCAGCTAGTATTCGCAAGAATTCCTTTAGCAAAGGAAAACCAGTCTCCTCTTGACTTATATCGAAATCCTCCGACATTTTTCTCACCGTAGCTTACACTACCTGTACATCCTACATCACTCTCTTGTGAATGTGCGTACAACAGTCAGCGGAAGCTAGAGATTACAGTTTATAACGTTATAAATATGGTGCGAATGCATTGATTTGCTTCAGGAGGCCTTTATTAACCCACAGGATCCGTGTGGAGCACTTTCGTGATGGATGGATGAATGCACTTTTTTGGACTCCAAAATCTTAACACCCATTCACTGCCATTATAAAGCTTGGAAGAGCCAGGATGTTTTTTTAATATAACTCCTACTGTATTCGTCTGAAAGAAGAAAGCCATACTCAGCTAGGATGGTTTGAGGGTGAGTAAGTCATATTTTTGGGTGAACTATTCCTTTAACTAACGTTGAGAAACAAAAACACTTTTAATGTTTTAGCTTTGTTCCCAATCTTCACGAGCTGGCTATGTAGGAAGCATCTGAAGGCATCGTGGGCTTGTTCCAAAATATCTGCAGCAACATTCTGCTGCTTGGTAGGATATTTTCTTTCGGCAGCATCACAGATAATCCAAAATCACTTCGTCAATTTCAGTAAACCAATAAATGCAGATATGAATTGTTTCATTGAGTCCAAAAAAATAAACAAACAAATAACATTTAATATAATAGTTTTTTCTAATATTTGTCCTTTGTATATTAGGTGTGTATAACTAATGTCAAACTCTTAGTTCTGTGAAATGAGCTTCGTCAGTGCATCAGACGCGAGTGTTTCTGTCTCTGAGATTATCGTGACTGATGTTCACGTGTCCGCTGTGCTGTGTTTCAGGTGAAGAGCGTCTGACGCCCATCTCCTTCACCTCGGGCCTTTCTGCACTGACCACTTTCTCTGACACTTCAGATAAACACATCCGACTACCCACAATCCTTCACTGAGCACCTCTAGAGTCCTGAACATCAGGACAGCACAGATCATCCTAAATGAGCTTGACATTATTTTCATTACAGTTAAACACAAAAACCCCAAATTCATGATACTGTAATGTAAATTACATTTTATCGATTACAATTTTAATTCTACCTCATTGTAGTAGTTGTTTTACTAACTTGCAATTTAATGAATTAAGATTTTAATAAAGAAATTGTTCCTGGATAAGATGATTTTAATCACAGTGTTATTGTAGTAATGGGTTAAATGTGTTTAATCATCACGAAAATAATGTCACAATGGAATACGTCACCTCAGAACTCACATTTCTGTCATCGTTTACTGTACGAGTTTCTTTATTCTGAGGAGCATACAGTAAGATATTTTGAAGAATGTTGGTAAGCAAACAGTAGCTTTTTGAAGTCGATGGGGACCAGAAACGATTATTCTTCGAAATATTTACATGCATACTTTTTTAAGAGAGGTTTTGAGTAACTTGAGGGCGAGTAAATGATGACAGCATTTTCACTTTCGGGTGAACTACCCCTTTAGTGCATCTTTTTCTTCTTTTCTTCACTAGTTTTTGTTGTTCTTTTGGGATGAAATATGTCGCACATTTCTTGATGAGGTTGAGCTGTTGTCTCAGGGAAGCATCTTAAACATCCGTGAGCGTAATGAGTCTAGAAGCCCGCTCCAGGACTAGAGCCGAGCAGAAGTGTTCAGGGTGACCTTGAGCCTGCTCCACAGATTTAGATGATTTTATCTGGACTCATACGTCTCTTAACTTGGCTTGTTTTTTTATAACTATTGTTTTTGAATCAGTTGTTTCAATAATTCTGGTGTGTTTTCACACTAGTGGGTTTTACTTGATAATGATTTTATTCCCCAAAACATGAAATTGAATTTATTTGTATAACCTATTTTCCACACTGATAAAAAACATAAATGGTGTAGCAACAATTTTCACTTAGAAATTGCTAGTAAATTTCACAAAACAATTGTTAAATGTTCTGAATTAAATGTGACATTTTAAAAGAAAGACTGGAATAGTATTTTCTTGTAATTACACTGGGTTGTCAATGTAATCCAGTATAGTTTACGACTTCAGAAACTCTTCACAGTGCACTGCTGAAAAGACGAACCGTTTTACTCATAGATATTGCGAATGGCATCATATGTTGACTTTATATAGGTTTTCTTAAAGAGTTTTTATTACACATGCTTCTCTACGATCAAGATTGATTTTACGTATCATCAGGAGCCTTTAAATGTATTTTTGACTTTGTCTCAGATGTGTGGCTTTTATGACTTTTTTTTTGTTGTTGCACATTTGAAGACGTTACATTATCCTTTAAAATACAGTGGAACATAAACAATAACAAATAGGTAACTATTTGTATTTCTTATCTGATTATGACCCATCATGCCGTTGGCAGGCTTCATAAGATTCATATTTGTCTGTATAAGGCTGCAGTCTCTTTATACCATTTCTCAGTTCAGTTTGTAATGCTGTATGTGAAATACGTCTGTATATGTTGAGCGTCTGAACCAGCTCTGACCCTGGCTTTGTTAATGTTGGGTTACCTGTTTGATTGTTGATGTGTGTTTAAGTGTGTGAAGTGTCTTGTGTTGGTGTCTCAGGGATGTCCCTCAGCCGTGTGTGGAGGATCATCTGAAGCCTCTGTCTCCGTTTGGTCTGCGGAACCGCTATCTGTCCAGACTGGGAGTGCAGGTATCACCGAAACATCACGTGCTGCAGTGTTGCTGTGCAAATACCCTGTTTTCATTATTTAAAGAAAGAAAGAAAGCATCATTGTCACCTGCAGCCATTAATGCAGTGTTATCTGTGACCGTGCTGGACATGAAGTCCAGTGAGCAGAGCGTCTGTGATGGAGCAGATGTCTCATGCAGGTGATCTGTTGTTGTGTTGGCAGATGCCGGATCACTGCTGATTTCTTATCTGATTATGACCCATCATGCCGTTGGCAGGCTTCATAAGATTCATATTTGTCTGTATAAGGCTGCAGTCTCTTTATACCATTTCTCAGTTCAGTTTGTAATGCTGTATGTGAAATACGTCTGTATATGTTGAGCGTCTGAACCAGCTCTGACCCTGGCTTTATTAATGTTGGGTTACCTGTTTGATTGTTGATGTGTGTTTAAGTGTGTGAAGTGTCTTGTGTTGGTGTCTCAGGGATGTCCCTCAGCCGTGTGTGGAGGATCATCTGAAGCCTCTGTCTCCGTTTGGTCTGCGGAACCGCTATCTGTCCAGACTGGGAGTGCAGGTATCACCGAAACATCACGTGCTGCAGTGTTGCTGTGCAAATACCCTGTTTTCATTATTTAAAGAAAGAAAGAAAGCATCATTGTCACCTGCAGCCATTAATGCAGTGTTATCTGTGACCGTGCTGGACATGAAGTCCAGTGAGCAGAGCGTCTGTGATGGAGCAGATGTCTCATGCAGGTGATCTGTTGTTGTGTTGGCAGATGCCGGATCACTGCTGCCCACATCTGTCTTCACTGGCCTACAGGAGTGTCCTCAAATGAGTCCGTCTGTCCAGCAATGCTGATAGAGACTAATTTGTTTGTCAATAAATGTTTATTTTTGCATGCATTCTTTTGTTTTTGGTTGATTAAAAAAAATCCAGCAGAAGTGCGCGAGCCTGTAGATCAGGGGTGCACACACTGGGTCCTGGAGGGCCGGTGTCCTGCAGAGTTTAGCTCCAACTTGCCTCAACACACCTGACAGGGTTGGAGCTGAACTCTGCAGGACACCGGCCCTCCAGGGCACCCCTGCTGTTGAGAGATGTGCGCCGTCTTGGGCTCCTTGTGCTGAATGCACCGATGTATGCACCTGTTTTTAATTTTATTTATTTGGTAAGCCTTGTTGTTGCTGCTGGGGGAAGAAGACGAAAACATGCAGCTAAAACCAGTCTGCATTTAAGAGACATTGTTAGTTCAGGAATCGATTCTCACTATTAAGTTGCTTATTCGCATGCATATTACTAACATATTGGTTTATTAGTGCTCATAATGATTCTGCATGGCCATATTTTAGATCCCTTAATCCTAAACCCATAACGGCTACCGTACTAACTATTAATAAGCAGCAGATTAGAAGGCAAAAGTTAGTTCATGAAATTGGACCTTAAAATAAAGTGTGACCAAAACAGCTCGTCAACCACAGAGTATTCGCTCACAGGCTGTTGAAGTGGTTTTCAGCTAAATGTATTCTGTAAAACAGTTAAAAACAGGAAAGATGTGCAGTGGTCTTGGTCAATGGACATTGCAATTAAAACACACAAGAACCTGACATCCATACCGTCGTTAGTTCACAGTTGACTCTTAATGTGCTGCTCACATGATTCAGTTCTCATTAACCGGAGAAACCCAGCCGCTGAAATATAAACCCTGTGACAACTAGCCCCGCTGGAGCGCGCGCGTGATTGATGCTGGTGCTGATGCTGATGCTGCGCGCGGATGCGCTCCTCTGATTGGCTGAGAGGACGCGACGCGACGCTCTTCACGCGCTGTCCTGCGGAGGTGATGTCATGCGTGTGGCTGTCGGACAGGACTGAGGACGCTCGCGGCATCTCTCAGGTAAACCCGCTGTGCTGCTGCTCCACTGTAGACGTGATCGGTTCGGCTCGTGACTGCTCGCTGGTCAAACGCGGGGTTTGGATCCCTTGTCTTTGCATGAACACGTTGATGTTAATTGGCGGTGATGCACGGAGTCGAGGTGAGGTGAAGCAGAACTTAACACGCGTGCGTCAGTCCCGAACCCGAGTCTGTGCTCGGCTGGTGAAAGCTGCTTTCCTCCAGAACATGCTGATTATCAAGCTGCAATATTACAAGAGCGGCTTTATTTGACATTTTATGTGAGCTTGAAATTCCGGACATGATTTGTTTGATTTATGTTGCTTGCTTTCTCTCTCACTTTCTTTCTAAACGTCAAATAAACACAATTCTATTCAACTATTATAATAATTGTATATATTTTAAAATACATAACGGGGTTGAATGTTTAGTCTAAATTAGCCTGTTCCATTCAGCTTGCTTTGCACTTGTCATAAATTATATATATATATATATATGTATGTGTGTATGTATGTTTGATCACAATATGTAATACCATTTGTAGCTTTACAACTGCAGTCAACACTTAAAATGTGTGCACAAATTGTGAAAATAGAATGAGATTATTTGCCTGTCCAGATGATTTTTTGGGGAAAAGTGGAAAATAGCATGCTAAATGTGTGACACCGCTAATTATTATGTTTATGAATGTGAGTGTGATGATGCACTTCCAAATTTAGGAAAGGTTTTAGACTTTTTTATTTTTAATTTTGATACGCTGCATATAGAGTTAAAACACAAAGTGGGTTATAAACGTACATTCATCGAAATGCGGTGTGCATTTCTAACTCAGGTTTGTTTGAGTGTTTCGAGCACATGGTCTGAGAGGACGACAGCACATTTCCGACCTGAGTAATCTCGGTTTAGTTCTTCGTAAAGTCACAGAAGTGCTGTAGTGGAAATGTTCTTTTACTGTTGTTTTGCCGATGCTGGGGGGCTCCTGAGCTGTTTGTAAGGTCATTCCTCTCTCTCGATGTGATCCCATCTCTCTGCTGCATGTACCTCTAACACCCGGCCCATCTATCTGCACTACATCACTGTACCGACACGTTTATTCCCAGCAGTGTGGGCTAAAACACTCATTTGCTGCCTTTTCCTTTCACACAAATTGCATTGCTTTATTTTTTTACCAATCGTCACACACTTTGAGTCTCCTTTAGTCTCTGTGCCTTACTCTAGATATATTAGTTCTGTTCTGTGTTAATAATGTGAACAAATGGTCAGTCAGTCCATCTGTTCCTTCATTATCTCAATCAATAACTGACATTTTAAGACTTGAAATGTTGTTAACTGTTAATATAACCAATGCTGTGATGTGTCGAAATGTCGAAATGCAGCGTGTGACTAACGCTGTATCCTCGTGCTGTATTACGCCTCTGGCCAGGCTTAAATATACAGTCTCTTGAATTTCACCCAGATACTCCAATGCATGCTGATCTGTCAGAACATGTGGAGGAATAAAACCTCACTGCAGCGAGAGGAGATGATCATAACCTTCAGATTAAAGACTATTCTTGCAAAGTTGCATTGGAAGAAACATTTGCTTCATGCAACATTCAATGCATTGATGAGAAATATTTTTACACTCATTTTCTAAAATTAATATTCTTATTCAAGCGTACTTTATCTCACGGAGAGATATGCATTAAAATGGAATAATAACACGGCATAATGGAATAAAATGTCAATACAGCGGTTCTCTGAAGCATTGTCATGTGCAAACTTCATACCAATACACAGAACAAAATATCCAAAATATGCTTCACGTGGTGACATGCAATTAAGTTAAAGTCAAATGTATGATTTAATATGACTGAATCAAGCAGACGACGTCAGAAAGACCAATAAAAGTCATTTTAAGCCTCTTTATACTGTTACAAACGGGTTTTACAGTGCATGTACTGTAAAATTCACTGAAGCTTTTACTGTTTCTGGGTCTGCTGTTATCTGAAGCATAGCGTGAAACGTCAGTTTAACACTGAAAGAGAGCGAGGCAAGAAGGAAGTTGCCAATCTTAAAGGGATAATTCACCCAAAACCTCACCCTCATGCTGTTCCAAACCCGTAAGACCTTAATTCATCTTGGGAACACAAATTAAGATATTTCTGATGAAACCCAGAAGCTTTCTGACGCTGCGTAGACAGCAACACAACTGAAATGTTCCCAAGTCCCAGAAAGCTGGTAAGGACTATTTTAACGATGTCTTACTAACTTTCTGGGCCTTGAACCTTTCAGTTCCCTTGAGGGTGAGAAATTAATGACAGCATTTTTATTTTGGGTGAACTATCCCTTTAATATCAGTCATAGAAATGTTAAATGATTGAAAGCTATATCCAGTATAAGTTGTTCTCCCAATGTTCAAGACTTGGTTATGGCCTTGGATCAAACATAAACTTTAGAGTGCAGAGTTCCCTCCAAAGCATCAGAGCCTCTCTCTCTCTCTCTCCCCAGACGAGCCTCTACCCTTGACGAGCTGCTTAATTATAGATATTAAATTAATTTGCTATCTGCATGCATAATGCGCAGCTACGGTGAACTGACTAATTGGAGCTGTTTTCTGCCCTTCATTGCTCTCTGGTGTATCTGTGCATGTGGCGCAGGCTTGGCTCCAGGGATGTTTAGCTTTGGTCTCAGAGATGTTTACAGTCACACATCAGACGGACGCTTTTCTGTCGAACACCAAAACGATGTGTGCATGAATAGCAGTCGATGCATTTGCCATTCTGTGTGCATGTTAGTGGAGTTGATTAATTCACACATCACTTTTACTATTGTGCATGAATGAATCAATGATTCCTCAGATCATGTGTGTTGTTGAGCAGAGCTGACCTGCAGTTAACTGATCAGATGCATGCTTTTACTTTTTTAATCAACCTATATATATTTGATGTATTTTTTGCTTTGCATATTACAATGCGGCAGGAAATTATTTGAACCTTAAAAATTCAGCTTAAGCCATCTGCTTATCTGTTGAGTTTTGCAGGGCCAGCAGCACTCAGATTTCCTTCAGATCGAGCTGTATCAGTTTTTCGCTCTGCTGTAGATGTTTGTGAATGTAGAATAATTGCCTCTGCGAGTGTTGTTGGAGTAAATTGATTTCCACTTTTCCAATTAATGACGGTGCCTGCAGATAAAGCTCTTTTCCCTTATTCGCCGTTTCTGCTGTACTGGGTCACTGATAACATGCTTTCACAAATAAAAGCAGCTGCTCTCTGATAAGACTGTGTAAAGCTGATAAAGGTCAGGAAAACCACTGTCTGACACACAGACAGACAGAGAGAGAGAGAGAGAGAGAGAGAGAGAGAGAGGTCACTGTTGGAAACCTGTCAGTCTGTAATGCTACCTGATCTCACCGCTACAAATGACTTTCATTGGTGAATCAAAAATGTGACCCTGGACCACAAAACCAGTCATAAGGGTTGAAGATAAAGATATTTTGTAAGTTTCCTACCGTAAATATATCCAAACTTAATGTTTGATTAGTAATATGCATTGCTAAGAACTTCATTTGAACAACTTTAAAGATGATTTTCTCAATATTTAGATTTTTTTGCACCCTCAGATTCCAGATTTTCAAATAGTTGTATCTCGGCCAAATACTGTCCTATCCTAACAAACCATACATACAAAGATTATTTATTCAGCTTTCAGCTGATGCATACATCTCAATTAAAAAAAATTGACACTTATGACTGGTTTTGTGCTCCAGGGTCACAAATACACTAAATAGAAAGCTAAATAAGCTAAGCAATGATATGCATTTGCATATATTCAGAAGAAAGAAAGAAAGAAAGTCATATGGGTTTGAAACAACATGAAGGTGTGTAAATGATTTGTAAACGACATCTAAGGGCTGATGTACATTAGGACAACCCTCAGGTTTAAAAAGACATCAGGAAGCACCTCATACAGTGCAAATACTGCCATTTTATTAGTCATAAGGGCATAACTGGGCAGATGACTATTGATTGCTTTTGTTTTTCAGGCGGACAGACGCGTCTCATCGCCTCAGCTGTGTTGAAGAGCCACCAGAAGCTAAAGCTAGAAAGGTGAAGGGAATCATACATCTATACTTACATACACATGACATTATTACTACAAAATCCCAGAATATAACGGCATATTACAGAGGGAAAGCTCACCCTAGAAGATGGTTTATACCCTGCACTCATGAACAAGGCAGATTGTACATTTTCTCATCAAACTGAAGTCATTTCACATCCTGCACACTGTGGTTTTCCCTCTAGATCTGAGACTTTTCCGAAATGATCAAGCGCACCGTGTTCAGTTCTGGTGTCTCATGCTGTCTGTTGTCATAGAAACGGCCATCAGCAGAGAGACGGAGGCCGTCCACGACATCGCACGCAGAAGCTGCTGCTGGAGAACAAGCCAGAATGTGAGTGAGAGAACTTTAAACGTGCTTGTGTCGTAATGATGTGATGCTGAGATATGCACATTGAACAAACAGAATCGTGAATATTGTGAGACTTGACATGCTCTCATTTGGTGACGTCTCACTGGTGATGCTTGCAAAGGCAAGTGTCATTATTACCATGTACAGTATATTATTCGCGTGTTTGAGCCTCAAGGATGTTTTAACTCTAATGCAGTTTGTGTTGGTTGGCTTTCAGTAGTTGAGTTTAAGGGTTTAGTGACAGGTCACTCATTACTCTAGTGTGAATGTGAGTGCAGCTCGTATCTTAGGGCAATGAATATGAGAGCAAAACAAACACATTGGTCTCAACGCTGTGTTAAACTATCTGAAAATAACTCAATTAGTTCTCTAAATTACAAGCAAATATCTCTCATTGAAGCATCTACATTACCCTTCAGCTACATCAGGAACATTTTTTTTAATTTTATTTTTTAACTATTATTCTAAAAGATCAATTATAACAGCTTTAAATGTGTGTTTCTTTATTTACTTTTCAACAACTGTCTTTCAGATGCCAGAATTGATCAGTTTTGTGGCTTGTCATCCATTCAAACCTTTGAACTTCCCCTTTATTAAATTACAAAACGCTTTTAAATTAGGTAAATTCAGCTTTGCACTTTACACATTATTGCTTAAGTTCACCATTGTTTTTAGGCGTACAATTTTTGTAACATGTAACATAGTTGCCACCGTTAGCTCTGTCACTGCCATCAAGCGAAGGATCGAGCTAACAATTGAGTTTTCCAAACATGTTTCTGCTTCATTGTGACATTGAGTAGATTGGATTCACAAATACTCCATTTATTTTATATTTTTAAATGCAAAGTTAAAGGGATAGTTCACCCAAAAATGAAGAAGAAGGAGAAGAAAAAAATAAAAATTTGGAACCATTTTCTCACCCTCATGTTGTTTACATTTTGAAGAATGTTGGTACCAATTGACGGTAGCCATTGACTTCCATAGTATTTTTTTTTCTCCTTACAATGGAAGTCAATGGCTACCGCCAACTGTTTGGTCATCAAGATTCTTCCAAATATCTTCTTTTATGTTCAACAGAAGAAAGAAACTCATGTAGATTTGGAACAAGTAGAGGGTGAGTAAATGATGACAGAATTTTCATTTTTGGGGTGAATTATCGCTTTAATTGACAGTTAATTAAATTGTTGTATTAGTAAAACTCCAAGACTTCTCTCTTAAAATTTGTGAAAATGTTAAGTTGATGAAAGTCTCTAACGTGAACTGAAGAAGCATTGAATTAGGTTTGTGAGCAGTTTGAAATCTCATTCAGATTACATGTTACACCGACATATCTAAACCTTCACCTTGTGCTCTTCATATCCCAGAATCCACAGAGCTTGGCCTGGTCCAGGAGCGCGAGCGAGCACAGCGGACAGGAGCTTTGAAACACACGGCCCGTCAGGACGAGATGGATCCGCTCGAGCGCCGCGCCGCTGAGGTAGGAGCGTCTCTGTTACACTCCTGATCACTCTTAGATCTGTGCTGGCCTCATGCCCAGCTCTGTAATTACTGCTTAATTAGGTGGAGATTGTTGATTGATTAATGAAGATGAGATTGTCTTGTTGTGTTTGGCTCTTGAGTGTGCAGTGAAGTGTTCACAGACAACAGCGGCCTACTGCAAATCTCTGTGTAAATGCTGCTTTTCATGGTTTACAGTATATGATGAATTTCATTGGCTCATGAGAGTTGGAGAGTCGAGTCCAGCTCTTTCAGTGGTATTATAACATTATTTTAGCACAACAAACCATTGAAACGGTCGGTTTTGGTCTGTTATCGGTCATCGACAAATTCTTATCTACTGGCTTCTTCCCTAACCACCTTAAACATGCTGTGACTCCATTTCTTAAAACCTAACCTTGAGTCTTCCTCTCTGTCTAATTTTCGTCCTGTTTTGAATCTACCTTTTATCCTTGAAAAAGTTGTAGTGTATCAATTAAAATCATATAAATATTTCAATCTGGTTTTAAAGCTTTGCACAGTACTGAATCTGCTCTTTTAGGAGTCTCAAATGATATCTTTACTAAAACCAACTCTGGGAAACATTAGATATTAATTAGACTTATTAGATCTGAGTGCTTTGTGTGACTTGGTCAGCGATGAGGTCCAGTTGACCCGTTTGGAGATATCAGTGGGTCTTCATGGTACAGGATTAGTTCTGTTCTTATTTGACTAAGAGGTGATTCGCTGTTCATACTGATCATCACTCCTCCTCTAATATTAATTGTGGAGTCCCGCAGGGCTCAGTCCTCGGACCGGTGTCGTTTTCCCTGTATATGCTCCCTCTGGTGTCCATGTTTAATAAGTATGAATTATATTTTCACTTGTACACTGATGATGACATACTTATTGCTTCAGTGTTGCTAGACCACTGATTTGATCAGTGTTTTACTGTTGTACTATACCGCTGTTGTTTTTGTATTTCTCATACAAAATTTTTTTTTAATTTCTGTTTTTCTCATTCATTCATTCGTATTTCTCATAGTTTTATTTCTGTTTTGCTCATTTTTATTTATTTATATATTTGTACTTATAGTTTTATTTCTGTTTTCTCATTTTATTTATTTATTTTTTATTTATTTATTGTTGTTTTGGTCAACCTTGCTAGTTTCTAAATGTGTTTTATAAATAAATATTGTATCGTAGTAATCAGGGATGGGCAGTATTTCAGATACATGTATTTGAAATATTATTTTGTATTTTAAAGCCTTTGGAAAAAACAAATGTAATTTGCAATTTTTATATTTTCAAAATACATAAAATACTTTGTGCCAGTCAAGCTCTTTATCAGGGTGCTGATTTAGTTCAGGGGTGAGTGACTTTTCTGGAGTAAGATACGGTGAGAGGATGTCATGGTCAATTACACTTGTTGATTAAAGTTAAAATATTTCATCATTCAGATTTGTCTTCAGTAACATGAAAGAATAAAAGAGCACTGACAAGGGAAAAAATAGCGTTAGCCAATCAGTTTCATTAATCGGTTGTTGTTTTTTATCAACTAGCTTGTCAAATGTGTTTAAAGCATCACGTGCATGTTATGGCTGGGTGATATAACAACACATATCATGGCGATGATATAAAGTGTGAATCTATTGAACTTTCTCTAAATCGTTGACATAAATTGGCCTATCGGAGTACAGTAAGCAAAAATATCCATGCAGCTTTTAGTGGGCAGGAATTATTGGAACATTGGAGTGGAAAACTTTATATTTGACACTATTTTCCTAATTAATGCTGTTCAGTTGCTTTGTCACAATCTGTATTGTTAAAAGCGCTATATAAATAAAGGTGACTTGACTTGACTTGACTTGAAAACGAAGCATGGGGAAATGAGTAATAGAGTGTGATGTACCCTCATTATTAGGTTCTTGATTCTGATTGGTTGATGTTGAAAGGTTGTTAGATTAATATTCTCTAACTGCACAGTTATGGACTATTTCCATGTGTTTTCAGTTCCACACTGGTTTCAGACTAGTAACAGTGGCTTGGGCTGTTTCTATTTAAGATGCTCAATCGGTAGTTCTGCACACAAGAGCTTTATAAAGAAAGCAAAGACTTGAAACTTTTCTTGAGATAAACACATTTATATTTGTTAAGCGTGGTGTGAGTGGAATAATTGAGTCTGGACGGCTGAATTAATGAAGTGAAAATGATTCTGCTCGGTGCCGGGCCACATCACCACCTCTGCCCTGCCGCGTATTCATTTTCAATAATTCACAGGGTGTCACCTTACTCATTTCTGGGGAATTATGCAGGATATTACTGCAAAACTAGCTGATATGTATTGATTATTTTTAGTTTGCCTATCAAGGCCTTGGCATGTTTTTGCAGTGCAGTGTTTTTAAATGTAGATAACTGATGTTTGAGAGCAGATGTGTGACAGTACCAACAGCAGATATGCAACAGCAGAGTGCACATACTGAACGTGTCTTTGGCCTGACACACTCATTTCAGGTCTGGAGTCTCTACCTGTGATTCCCACAATGTGAAAAATGTGGACAAAAGGAAACACTCATAAAAATATAAAAGCAGATAAACTCCCATATGGAAATGTACTATATGACATGTACTGCCGTATATCAAGCGTGATATTATATAGGCAACATATAATTTTCACATATGTAGATTCTCTGAGTAAATGAAGATATAAGTTATAACATATATAAAATCCCCATAGTAAAACTCTATAAAAACACTCAAAAAATATTTGAGCCTATATGTAAGCTTTATGTATTTTAAACTGCATGTAAAATATTTATCAATTTTACACAGTTTTACCATAAACTAATAAACTGCTCTGCTTATTTGTTTTTCTGTTATAACTAGTAGTAACTGTAGTGACTAATAATTCAGAAGTTTCACACATTCACAGGAAGTCATATTTATTTACAAAGCATTTAATACAATACAGAAGAAACAGAAAAACAACAGAGCTAATGTTGTAAAATTCAGCAATTATGAAACAAGTTAAATTTCAGCTATAAGCAGCTCTGCAGCAGACAACAGTGCCATTATTCAACTCCGTTTAGTTCAGTGCTGATTCGTTTCAGTTCAGTGACAGCGTTAGTGGTGCAATTAAAGTTCGCCAATAATGAAACAAGTTTGTTTCAGCTATAAAGCTACTGTACATACCGAAACTCATATTTTGAAAATTATCTCAGAAATATATTACTATTTACATATATTTTCAGGTCAAAAAAAAGAGAGATGATTAAATCTGAGTTATTGGAATAACACTTGCTATACTGCAACACACACACACACACACACACACACAAACTGCAATATGCATTAAAAATCCTAAACCAAATATTGTGATAAGATCACGTTACAGCTAACTGGCGAATCTCACTCATGCACACGCAAATAAATCAGAAGAAGGATGTAATGTACAGTTCGATAAGCAATAAAAAAAATCCTTTCAATACAGGATCACTAATGGAAGAAAGTGTCGGAGGGCCTCAAACACACAAACACACCCTCCATTAGTCTATTGATGAGCTGTGGTGATAATGGCTCATGTCTCCTGCTTCAGTTCAGTTTACAGCGACACGCTTCTGCTGGAGGAGAAGAACTGATGCTCGTAATGAAGGGGAAACACATCTGTGGTTGTTAAGTCTAAGAAAAATATATATAAATGCACAGGAATAAACTCACAACTCAAAACTCTAACATAACATACTTTCCACAACGGTGCACATCTGAAATAACTGTAGCATGAAAAATACCTAGATTGAAACCCATCCAGTGTCCGGAAAACGGTTATTTTGGCTTGTTCAACCTCAGAGGTCTTGTATACAATGGTTAAAATCATAATTTGTTGAGGATATCTTTGGTGTAGTCCAATGTCAGATGTCATGCCATCGCAGCATCTCAAAGACGAATGGTGTGTGTGTGTGTGTGTGTGTGTGTGTGTGTGTGTGTGTGTGTGTGTGTAGATTAATATTCTCTAACTGCACAGTTATGGACTATTTCCATGTGTTTTCAGTTCCACACTGGTTTCAGACTAGTAACAGTGGCTTGGGCTGTTTCTATTTAAGATGCTCAATCGGTAGTTCTGCACACAAGAGCTTTATAAAGAAAGCAAAGACTTGAAACTTTTCTTGAGATAAACACATTTATATTTGTTAAGCGTGGTGTGAGTGGAATAATTGAGTCTGGACGGCTGAATTAATGAAGTGAAAATGATTCTGCTCGGTGCCGGGCCACATCACCACCTCTGCCCTGCCGCGTATTCATTTTCAATAATTCACAGGGTGTCACCTTACTCATTTCTGGGGAATTATGCAGGATATTACTGCAAAACTAGCTGATATGTATTGATTATTTTTAGTTTGCCTATCAAGGCCTTGGCATGTTTTTGCAGTGCAGTGTTTTTAAATGTAGATAACTGATGTTTGAGAGCAGATGTGTGACAGTACCAACAGCAGATATGCAACAGCAGAGTGCACATACTGAACGTGTCTTTGGCCTGACACACTCATTTCAGGTCTGGAGTCTCTACCTGTGATTCCCACAATGTGAAAAATGTGGACAAAAGGAAACACTCATAAAAATATAAAAGCAGATAAACTCCCATATGGAAATGTACTATATGACATGTACTGCCGTATATCAAGCGTGATATTATATAGGCAACATATAATTTTCACATATGTAGATTCTCTGAGTAAATGAAGATATAAGTTATAACATATATAAAATCCCCATAGTAAAACTCTATAAAAACACTCAAAAAATATTTGAGCCTATATGTAAGCTTTATGTATTTTAAACTGCATGTAAAATATTTATCAATTTTACACAGTTTTACCATAAACTAATAAACTGCTCTGCTTATTTGTTTTTCTGTTATAACTAGTAGTAACTGTAGTGACTAATAATTCAGAAGTTTCACACATTCACAGGAAGTCATATTTATTTACAAAGCATTTAATACAATA